AATAAAACCAATTTATACTTAAATTAAGTTAAATCGGTTAGAAAAATGACGAATCGTATACAGTTTTCTTTATCTGAGCTCAGATGATTTCAGTTATTACTGAAGACACATTTAATAGGAAATTTTTTATCAAGATATTCTGCAAAAATATCCACTGCATCTTATTCATGCCTTTTCCTCATATTTGCATCTTTAATATTGAGGAAAGATTGAGAGTCAATTATGTATAGCATACAAGCAAATAAATGAAATAACTAATACTAATACTTCAGCTTAATAATAACAAATTCTCACTATAAACGCAGTACATTTTCAGAAAAAAATATCCTACGATAACGTTACGATTGAAATCAATTTGAATAAAAAACAAAAGTTGATCGTTCGTGTAGAATCATTTAGCTTTTTCAGTATTTTACCAGTGTAGATATAGACCTTTTTGTTTTGAATTAATTCAAAAATTGATGCATGCATTTCACATTATGTGTTGTATTTACTTTTGCAAAACCATGTGCATTATTGATGTAATATAATTGCAGTGCGCAACTGTGATAAAAATGATACGAAAAAGAATATAAAACTAATGAAGCATAAACGAAAGCGAACAGAACAGAACAAAAAAGAGCATAAAGAAATATTTTTAATCGCCGTCTGCGCTGCACATTCTACTATCCATTTAAAACAGAAAGAATGCAAGTGATTGATTATTTTAGAATTTTTCAAAAGGATATTGTTTTATATATCAATTATAATTCTTATCTTATATAACTATTATAATGATGATGATTAATAATACTTCATATTAGTAAATATTTTTTATATAAAAGAAAATTCTTATAAAATTATCTTAAATATATATATATACTATTCTAAGACAAATTTATGTTTAGATAATTATTTAAATGAAATTATATTCATTACATTTATGAAAGTTGAAACATATTCTAATAATTCAAAGATCTAACAATAACTCTACACTTATATTTGTTTATCACTATCATATCTATTTTTATTAATAAAATATGTTGTATATTCAAAAGAAAACAAAACTTTTACAAATTGAATTTATTCAAATATTTAATAATGAATGGGTGTGGGCGTTTTGCATCAAATATTCTCGCACTCACACCCATACCCACCCTATGATAGTCTGATTGATTAGTAAAAGATTTTCGATGTCTTTCAGCTCAAAAGTTGAGTATATATAAACTTCAACAACATAATTTAGATGATGTTAAAGAATATTCGACTGTTTTTTCAATTATTTAACGTGAGAGAATACAAAGACAAAATTCAATATTAATTAATCTATAAAACTATAATTTAAAAAAGTAATAACTAGGAAATTTCTTATAATCTAATAAAAATCTGAATTATCAACTGTATGTTTTTAATTATACAATTATTTATGAGATGAAAAATAATATCGAATTACTTTCAATTTTAATATGAGACACAACGATTAAATAGAAATTTATTTAATATTTTTATTTTATCATAGAATAATAAAATAAAATTGTATATAGACTTCTATTTTACAAATAGAAATAAATACATGAGTTTTCATCTTTCTCTCTTTATTTAAATATTTCAGCAAAAATAAGTGACATTTTAACATCTTTATTTTAATGTTATTCAACAACATGTAACAAAGCATGTGAGTGATATATTTATGTTCTTTCATCGCTAGATGTTGCCTTTCAACAATGAATCAAACAAAAGAGCGATTTAACATATTTTTTTAAGAAAGAGACGAATATTCTCAACAAAATCATAGAAATCTGCAAATAACATCGATCAAGTGTACTTTTATCTTATCTGAGGATGTGGATGCGGACGAGATGGATAGATCAATACACGTATTGATACTATCCGATAATCACACATATCATTTACATTCACATAAAAATAATGATTTAGTGATAAGGAAAGACTTCCCTTAGGGATTAATAACAAATTGTCGATAAGATGTCTAAATGTTCACATTATATTGAGAAATCTGATTGTTAAATTTATCTCAAGAGATTCAATGATTCAAGCCGTTTCACCAAATTTGTCGTTAATTTATTTCAATCTCATAATCATTTATTTCACTGTGGAATAAAAACAATGATTACGATTGAAATTTTTCAAAACACAAAAACTATATGAAAATGTAAAGTCGAGTTAATTCCTTTGAAATAAACTTAAAAATTGTTCAAGTGAAGAATATTTGTTTTCTTTTCAATTTTAAGATCAATAAAATATTCTATTCATGAGTTCTTATTTTATATTTTATATAATATCTTTATTTATCTTATCGGAAAATATATTTATATTTTAAAATCCATTTTTCTTTATTTCAAAATTATAAAATTATTTCGATAATCTTTTATTTTTCTTTTTGATTTCAGAGCGACTTTTAAATGTATAAGTTATTAATGTCTTTTTTTCAGTTATAAACTCTTTTATTTGTATCATGAAATCTTGGAGAAAATAGAAAAATATAATGCTTTTCTCTTTTCATATTTAAAGAGAAATTGTTAGTTAAAGTATCACTGTTAACTCTATTTTTAAGTGACATTTTATGATTAACATGAGAATTATTATTGTTCAGTCAGTTGTCATTGATCTGTTTTTCTCTATAACAATAAAAACAACATATATAATCATAATAAATTGTAAATATCAATTGATATAAAATTTATGGAGAAATATTATACTGTCAATATATTCGTGTTTAAACTATATTCTCTAGTAGATATTCCAATGTCATTAAAATAAAAGAAGAAGAAAAAAAATTATTTTTCTTGGAGTTATGTATAATTATATTCAAATTTTGAAAAAATATTTTTCTTCAACAAAATATTAAAACAAAGAAAAGACGTCATCAACATAGTTTTTCTAATGTAATTGTAGAGATGCTGTTTTCTACTTGCCATAATTATTTATATTTAGATGCACTTTTTTGTGAAGCAACACAGTTTGTGTTATTGTGATTATAAACGAGAGATGTGTTCATCAAGTCTTTGTTTCCATCGTTTCTTTTTGTGAGGAAAATCAAAAAGATTTTCTAAGTGACGTTTTCTTCTTCTGTATACATAAAACATCATAACAACATGCACACAAAAGAAAAAGAAAAAGAACTAATATAAACATTTACTGGATGAATATTTTTCATTGAGAAAAAAGTACGTTGGAATGTTTTGTTATGATAAACAATTATTTAACTTTGTTTAGAATACTAAAATAAGTATTTGTTTTGTTCTTCATTAACCCTACTATATATAAATACGAATTGTGATTTTCCCATTGATAGAGAAAAATGTGATTATCTATTGAATTAGAGCTCATGATATTCTTCTATCAATCAAAACGCAAGAATAGAAATGATAAGACAGCAAAATAAATGCAAGATTTTTGAAATGTTGTTATAATATATGTTTTGGTTCTCTTGTGTAATCAAATAGCTCATCTGATCATTCGCTGTTTACATACTAATAATGGACTTTATTCTTCATGTTTTTCATCTTTATTTATTTTCTATAGAACTTAAAAGATCTATTTATGAATATATTTGCTCTCAAATAATATTTAAACACAGACATATCATCTTTCTGAATGGATAATATTTTGTCAAAATAAAAAATAATCAGGACCCAGATCGATGAGTGGATATGAAATAAAAACAGCATTCACACTCATACTCAAGCATAATCGTTGATTGTCAATTCACTGTCATTAAAATCTAAAAGAGATTAAATAAAATCTTTACACGTTCAAAAAACAATTCATATATTTTGTAGTTATGTATGGTGCATTCAAATATTAAAAGAAAGTAAAGACGTCATCAACTTTGTTTAGTAATTTTTCTAATGTAATTATAGAGATGCCGTTTTCCATCCACAGATTGTTTGTATATATTGCCATCATTGTTTTTCTCAACACTCATGTACTATTTTTAAAGTAATGTCCTTTTTTCGTTTTGTAATTACATCAAACCTAGATCTTTCTAGAAGTTGTCTGCTTCTATCGTTTGTTTTAAAAAATAATCAAAAAGATTGTCCATCTAACTTCATCTTCTACTTCATACATTATATATCACAGCAGCATAGAAACGAAGAAAAAGAAAAGAAAAGAAAAACAAAACAACTTTTTAGTAGATAAATGTGTTTCCTCGAGAAAAAAACAGTTTAGAATGTGTTGTTATGATAAACAGTTATTAAACTCACTATAGAATAGTGAAAAAACTGTTTGTTTTCATTTATCTAATAAAAAGATGTTTTGTCATTCATTAATTCTAGCATACATAGACATGTTTGGATCATTGTTACATTGATGAAGAAAAGTGCAATTACCTACTGAATCACAAATAATAATATTCTTTCATCAATCAAAAATTGAAGAATAAAATTGGTACTACAGAATAACAAAAGAGAAATTGTGAAAATGTTTTCATACTTTGTGTTAGAATCAATCGAAAAATCCAAATCCAGTGTGTTTGAATTCAGAGGATTATTCACTTTTCTTTATTTCTATATAAATTGCGTGAGAATTGATTGATATATTGTATAGTTTGCGAGACAAGTTTAAATAAATATCCAATTGATATATGGATACAATGAATTAAAATATGTTTATTTTCATAAGACAAAACTTCATTTGTGACTAAATCTTGATTATTCTGTTTTCAAATCCAATTTTATTAAGTCGATTGTTTTATATGATGTTTCATCTTCATTTATTTTCCATATAACAAAAAATATTCTATTTGTAAATATATTTGTCGTTAAGAAACATATCCACAAAGAAAACTCGTCTTTCAAATTAGATGTGTTTTTACAAAACTAAATAAAAGTCATAACTATTTTTCCATTAGATGAATGAAATGAGATGAGAAAAAGACAGAAAAAGAAAAAAATGGAAGGAAAAAGAAGAAAAAAAAATAGTGTTTATCGCTCAACAAATTCTTTTTCTTTTATTCTCAGTTAAATTCATTTCAGCAACTTGCAATCTAGTTGGCAATGGCTTCAAAAAGAATTTGTTTATGGCTTGTATTTATGATTATTACACAATCGGTTGGAGAAGATATGCGATCAGTTCGAATGTCTTCAATGCGTGGTTCGAAATTTCAATGCGGTAATACAACATGTTTACCGTTCGTTAACCTCATTACGTCAACTATTATGAAGTGTCAAATGGCTTGTTTAGCTCAAATTTATTGTAGAGCAGCCACATTTTATCGATCAACTTCTAATTGTGAATTATTTGCTGATATACTGAACCAAAATGAAAATATGCTGGCTGATGCGGATGCTACTAGTATGAATGTTATTGCTGGAACACGATCTCCACCTGGTTAGTATAAATATAGTAGATTTAGAAACAAAGCATTTTAAAACTATCAATGACGATTTATTTGGCGAAGGAAAGCCCTTAGGCGTGTCCCAGGCATTTTCATGATATTAAATGGATTTTTTAAGTGCAGTATACCTATCTCAGGCACGAAACAATTAGATACTCTGACTGTGTGAGTAACAAAACAGTCAATATATTTTCTAAGAAATCTACACGTATGCTTTACTGTATAGCTTTTAAGAATTTTTAAAAATTATTGAGCATTTTCCTTCTGAATATTGTACATCAAGTTTCAGTTATGTATTATGTGTATTTCTGTTACATCTTCCTAGATGTCGCGTATGACTCATGCTTATCCTATATTGCAAAGAGTATGAGTGCAGATACAATTCTATGGTCTTTTATATTTCAAATTGGACTTTGGGAAACAATCGCGCTTCGCAGTATACGTAGAGCGACGATTAGAGGGTACTAAAAAACCAACAGTTCTCACAATTAATAGACAAAAAAACATTACGTTTTCTACGAATTGAATACTTGATTTGAATGAAATGAAATCATCTACAATCAGCTATTTCCCTCATCATCCTTCCAATCCTACGTATCACTAAGACGACTCGAGAGACTAGGGGGCAACGAGAGACTGAGAGGACTCGGAGGATCGTGAGGACTCGGACGACCGTGAGGACTCGGTGGACTGAGAGGACTCGGAGGACTAAGAGGACTCGGAGAACACAAGTGACTAGGGGGACTGAGAGGACTCGGGGAACACAAGTGACAACGGGGACTGAGAGG